GCCTGGCCTCGGTCTTTATTGAATAATTATGCGTTACATTATTAAATGGGTTACATGAATTATTACAGGGACCTACAGCTAGGACTAATTTATCCTCGGCGGTAGCCACCACTTTATTAGTTATGTATGATTCAAATTTCTCGAGAGAGTTAGTAAAATCAAAAATCTGTAAACGATTACGATCAAAGTGATCACGATATCCACAGAAGCCAACCCAAAATTTAATTTTTGAATTATTGTTGTTAACATAATTAGCCACTTTTAATATATGATCTTTAGCTGCTGTGATATGATACATCATAGAAGATATACAATCTAAAACGAAGCAGAGATCAAAGTTCATCGCATCTTCTACATTAGTGATTGCACTTGAAACATTATTTTCTCTGTTTCTTCGTAAATATTCGGCTCTGTCTATTAATGTTGATGTACTGCTAATTCGATCTGTTTCATCTTCGTAGCGCTTTAGACGTTCTTCCAATAGTTTCGCATTACCTATATTACCTATAAGCGATTCTGGAACGTTTCCGATAACGGAAGGGAAATCTGAATTTAAACCGTTTTCAACATGGCAATTGTTTGCATTACAACTGGTTTCTGTTTTCTTATCCTTTTTTATATACCGAAATGCACCAAAACAACTTGACATAATTCTTCTGTGTTAAATTAGAAGTGTCTAATTGTTACAAGAGTTATTGTCCGAAGCGAAGCGGAGAATTCTTATTCTACTCAAAACGTGCAATGCCCGCATAATCTTCGGAGTTTTCTACGTACGTACGTACGTCTGCTGATCTAGCACAGTTACGGATTATCACTATCAATTTTGAGCATTACATTATTCTTTTACTAAATTTAATACTTTGTATCAGTTATTGATTGTGTACTACGTATACAAATCGTATATACTGATCTGAAGCAACAAAAATGTTGCAAAAAAAGATAATTCAAAATTAAAGTAAATAGGTTTTATTCGGGTTGTTTCAAATCGGTAACACACGGTATATATGTTGTGCCTCATCGATTTTTGCCTCAGGTATTGATCGTTTGGCCGGCATTAACTGATCGACATTAATTGGCCTAAACTATAGCCTAATCCTTACTGTAACCTTTTTCAAGTGATAAATGAGCTCAATGGATTAATGTGTCATTGTATAAAAGTCCTTTCACTAAATGAGAACATTTTATTATATGATCCTATCGGTAACTATTTTCCACATTAATATGAAGACTACACTATATTAGATGACCGTCTTAATTATTTTAGGTAAATTTGAAAGGTTGTAAATAAAATTCAATATAAAGTGTTTCATTGTTTCACTTATAACTCCAGATGGGTTAATATACAGTAGTAAAATATAAATATTTTTATATCATATTATGTTTATTGGAGAATTTATATCTAAAGACTCGGAAAATGAAAATAATCACAAATAAGGGCCCAAAGTGAAAATAATTACATATAAAGGCCCAAATTTTGAAAAATTTTATCATAAAGGGTCAAAATAGCTTTGCGTTATAATGATAGTGGGCATCACTGCATACATATGTTGTAAGTGGGAATGGAATTAAGTGGATTCGGAATTTCAAAGTTAAATTAGGGTTAGGGTAAGGGTGTATATATGATAAAATCAACCCAAAATGCTGGGTTTATATAAAAATTCCGTTTCCACTTAATTCTGCTTCCACTTACAACATATATACTATACCCTATTTCGCTTAATGAAACTTTCTTTTAACCAAGATACAATTTGACTGGGTTAAGCACGATATTTGTCAATATCGTAATACTTATTCGATTCTAACTAATTAGTCTATTTTTATACCAAGACTAGTTATAAAACATGAATCATATTTTGTGAAGGTTACTACGCGTTAATCAAGATATTTAGAACCGCAAAAACTCATTTGTATTCGTAGAGAAAGTCAAATTATTTTTAGAAATTGGCAAAAATAGTTAAAATTTTTACATGCGAGACGCTAAGAAAATAAATGCAACACTGATTAAAAAGATCGTTTAACTGTCCAAAGAAAATTACCTCATATAATTTTAAATTATTGTTAAGTCTAATTATTTACGATAAATTGGTCCCTTGATTGTAATATTTTCCAAAATTTGGGCCCTTAGATGTAAATATTTTCACTTTGGACCCTTATTTGTAATTATTTTCAATTTCCGGGCCTTTATATGTAAATTTCCCATGTTTATTTTCTAACTTAACTTGACGTCATCCGAGCAAGACACGAATAATTTGTTTAGTATGAAATCTTTTGCATTAGCTTCTTTATTCTTATGTTAAGGTCGTCTTACATTAATTTATCTGTTAGTGAGACAGATCATCATCGTAATGCTCTTTTATAAAAGAGAATGACCGATATTATTATACATTGTGGGACAAGGTATAAGAATAAAATAGAATTTAATTTTTCCTAAGCATTTTAAATTAATCATAGTACATAAATTATGTAAGAATAGTATAAACTCGGTATTGTAATAATTATTGAAACATTCAATAACAGGTTATTATCTTTTTGCACATATTAAATTGTTTATAACTTTCCTAAAAACATTTCCGCATTTGTTTCTTTTCAAATTATTTCGTTTAACGAATTAATATCGTTTAAATTAAGATTATTTAACTTCTCGCAAATATTATTACATTTATGATTTGCCAAAAAACATTTCTGAATTCCACTCTTTCCAAGATTCGTTGTTCCAAATCTTAATAAATCAACGCAATGCATGGCAGGATCTATTAATAAAAACTCATTACAAAGATTAACTCCTTGTAAATCATAAACTACTAAATACCTTCAGTGTATTGATATGTGAAATGAGCAAATGCCTCAAGAATAGAATGAAATTCTGTAATTATACCACTATTCACAATAAATTTTCTAAACTCTGCATAACTGATATATTTTTCTACAGTGCAATAAGCACTGGAGCCTGTCTTATCGCATAATATTTTACATCAATAAATATAACTTTCTTATTGACACCAACTCGTTTGGTGATTTCATTGAATTTTGTTGAAGAAAATGCAATACTAAAGATTTCCACTGATTCTAAATATGTTCTATGGAACTTGCTTTAACATTGTGATACTTTTTTATCACTAACTTATAATTTCGTCGACGTTTAGTATCAAGTGCGTAATAAGCATATCGTTCAGCACCAACAGAGAATGGTTGTGGAGCAAGCTTAAAAGATATGTTCTGAACGGTAAAGTTTTAATTAATAAAGTAAAGATCATCCTTAACTTCAAGACAGAGTTTTCGGTGGAACATAATATAAAATTTCTCCCGTTTTTTTCTGGAAGAATAGTCCAATCAGGTTCGAGTGGATTGATTTGAAGTTTTTTTGTTGTAAAGAGTATACACTTTTCGAGTTTCTTAAAGTAGTGGTTAATGTAACAGAAGAAAAGATGGCAGAACAAGTAGCCATGTAGAATTTATCGACTAATATCGAAGGATTACAACCCGTAGTCTTGAGATCAAATAGGAAATTCACCAATTATTTCACAAAATATGTTAAGCATAATTTCAGTAGAAACATTAATCTTTCCAAAATGGTACAGTACCGGACAGCAAGAAACATCCACTTTTTATATATAAATAC